CACCGTCTGTTCTTCTTCCCAACTCACACAGAATGTTCACAAATTGTCAAAAGCTCCTATCGGGCATTTCTATCTCCCTTTATACGTCAGTCAGACTGAAACGAACATGAACGCAGTTTGGAAAAGTGCCACGCGGAATTCTTATTTATTTTTCGGGAAATCTGAGTAGAAAATGTATAGCTATAAAGATAATATACATATTATTGTGAGCGTATAAAATTTTTCATTAAAACATTTTTTTATTTCAATTCTACCGTGAATTTGAGAAATTTATAATTTTTAATAAAACTTAAAAATCTATTAAAAAAAAACGTTTTTCCTAAATGTTTCAATTATTTATAGTTCTAATAATTTTTTATATGTATAAAAATAACCAATATATTAAGTTAGCTTATTTAGAAAACAAATTTTATATTTTTATTAAAAAATAGCATTAAAAGGCAGAAAAAAAATATTGGCTAAACATCGAATAAATGTATAAGAATATAATGATAAATGAATAATAATTATAATAAAGTGATATCGGAGAGAAAGTAGATACTATAAATTTTCTCCATGGAACGGAAGTAAATTGGCGAGATAAACGCGGAACTGACAAATCACACGTAACGATTACGAGACGTGCAAGATAACGCAATTTTTAGAGAAAAAGGATTGCGCGACGTGCTTCGACTAATAATGCATTTTCTTTAAATTCCGTTTCCGTCCGATTACCCGCGAGATTAATGTGGCAGCCTGTCTACACTTCAAAGGCTCTTTAGCGAAGTTCGCCAAGATCAGATGGTATGGTATTCCGTACACATCGCCTTTAATTAATTCCATCCGCAGCACCTCGATTTTGCGTGAACCTAATTGAAATGTTATTTCACAGTAGGTGTGAAGTACGCACATTCTCTAGTATAATTCTCATTTTAAGCAGAATTTCAAGTAATATATCTACATAATTGGATTAATCCTATAAAGCATGATGTTACATTTGTGTATCACCTTTTAAAAAATATATATTCCCTGTGGCTGATTTTTTTGTAACTTCATATTTAGCAATAGGAATCGCTAAATCTGAATTTTAACTAAAAATTTTAAATTTCATAATGATTTACTCGGAGTGGCAGTTTAAAGTCCGACAAATTTTTTATTTGTGTAATATATATTATATTATAATAAAAAGTTTTATTTATAGAAAATATATTAAACACTTGATATCTGAAAGTTTTGGGGGTTACTGATTTCGAATTTGAAATTAAAATTTATAAACAATACAGTATATTATAGGACCGTACATGTATGATAACGCAAACTATAGAAATCAAAGCCTTAAACGATCTAGCTGGATCTTAAATGCTTGTATTATTCTAATATATTATATTGTTGATTTACATCGCCTAAAGAGACGTTGTTCCTTTATATGTTAATTATTGCGAAGAATATTACTAAGGCCTCGGTAGTCTAAAGGCTTAGGACGCTCGCACGGAAGAGATCCGGGTTCAACACCCGGCCGAGATAATATTTTTCACAATAAGAATTAATTATTTACAGATTTTAATATTCAACATTATTAAGATTGTTTTGAAGATGCGAATAAGCATCAAAAATTTGTTAAATTGCTAGTCAATTCGTGATATTACTGCGGTAGTCTAGTAGAATCAGCATTTTCACGAAAAATCATTCGGCGCGCATTTCTGGGGATACCTACGTAGTATACAGGGTGTCTGTTAAATGAGGGGAACAAAAAAGTTTTATACCATTTTGCAATTTTCGCAATTAACAAGATATTAATTACTAAAAATGGCCGAATATTGGTCTTTAATAATTTTTTTCTCAAATACTATGAACTTTACAGAAAAACTGTAAGAGACAAAAAATGTTTATTTTTTTCTCATAAATTTCTGAGAATTTTTTCAGAATTTTTTAATACCATTTTCTTATGATAATAAAAATAAGAAAATGCAGTACTAAAAAGTTGTTAAAAAATTCTGAAAAAATTCTTAGAGTTCTATGAGAAGAAAATAAACAATTTTTATCTGTTATAATTTTTTTTGCAAAATTGATAGTATTTGAGAAAAAAATTATAGAAGACCAATATTCGGTCATTTTTAGTAATTAATATCTTGTTGACTATTGCGAAAATTACAAAATGGAATGAGACTTTTTTGTTCCCCTTGACTCATTTTACATCCTCAATGCGGCTCCGACTTAATAGACCCTGTATAAATTCACACAAGTATCATACAAGCATATAAGATCCAGTTAGATCATTTAAAGCTTAAAATTTATAAATTTTCAAAAAACATAAGATGGCAGAAAATCGTGGAAAGTAGTTGGATTTGATATAATCGTTACCAAATTGTATTTTTCTTTTTGGATCGCTGATTTTGAACATAAAGTAAAAATTAAAAAAAAAAGATTAACATTGCATAAAATAGATTGAATTGTATATAAGACTATGTTTATATAAGACTACGTTTTTAATATCGCTTATTTAATATCGAATATAAGCAAGAAATTATCAAATTCAAAATGATAGACTTGAAATGGCAAACCCAGATACAAAATGCACTTAAATTTCTATGAAAACATACTCGATAGTTTGTCACTAATCAATCAATTTTTTATATTATAAATCCGCCATATTGAATCTGAGTAAATATTTTTAATTTTTAAATTTTTATTTTAAATATGAAGCGTCACTACGGTCATATTTTTCGCAATAAGTTTATCACAGTTTTTTAAGATTTGGAAAATTTGGAAAGATTATTAATATTTCAGATTGATTACGTTGAAAATCCAACAACCATATCGGCACGCAATTATCATTTCTGAAATTAATTCACATTTAAATGAATATACAATATATAGTAGTTCAACATCTTAACATTCAGACCGTAGTCACGCTTCGTATCTAAAGTAACATATTTGACATAAACGGTCTTGTTTCTTATCATATTGTTTAAACTTTTCAGATTTATTATCAGCGATTCTAAAAACTCCCGAGTACTTATACAATTTTAAGTAACTGGGCCTATTTTTATCTTTTCAATGTGTCATTTAAAAAATTTTCAAAATCTGATGCATATTCATAATCAGTAATCCCAAAAATTCCTTATATCAAGTTTTAAGAATTTTAAGAATGTAAGAATAAATATGTGACTTTAAAAAGTTTTAAAGTCTTATTATATTGTAGCAAGATAAAATTGTTTCTTAGATACATTACCAATTTTTAATCGAAATATATACGAGTATAGTATTTTGTTCTTGTTAATTTCATAAGAATTGAATTTAAACTCGGAATTGAAACTTCTTGTCGGAATAGATAATTATTAGATTTAAGCACTGGATCGTAGTAAATCATCACATTACTTCAATTGTTGTAGCCGTTTAGTGTTTCACAATTTCATAAATCGATTAAGGACGAGAGAGAAAAGATATAAGTTTAACTAGTTTTTTCTACAACGCTGCTTTTACTGAATACATTTGAAAATTTATTTTAAAAGATAAACGATCTCTTGAAAAAAATTTGTAACAGAATTGCGCTCTCAGCGAAATAGACGTACGTGATTTATAATAGCGCGGCTTTCTCTGTCGTTACAAAACCGAATAGCTCGTCAGATTTCGAGGCAATTCAGGGCGATTGCATTCTTCAGAGTCGCGATCACCGGCGTTGCATCGAAATTGTTTGCTGGCTTTAATCTCGCCTCGCAGCAGTGACAAAGTATCGTTCGCAAGCGCACCGTTACTTGAATCACCGGAGATGCGTCTGCCCGAGGTATTTCACGGTAATACCACTGCAGCGAGCGATCGCGTGAGCCAATGGTTAGACACTTACGTAACATTAAAGCCGCCGCTGGCTTATAATCTTGCTGCATGACGCACGAATGGCTTCACAGAAGACAATGTTAGGAACTTAACGGCGAAATTATTCCTGATGAGAAAAACTAATTCTGCGTCGGCAAAGTTGATTCGACAATAGTTGCTATCGTAATCATAATATACAGTAAACTTTTTAAGATATATACAATTACTTTAACTGTGCAATTCGCAATACAAGTATAACAGATATACATTTTTCCTAGAATAATTTACAAAATAAATGTTGTAAATTGATTTTTTACAGTGATTGTTTACAAAATATAAAAGTTCCACAGAATTGGAATGTATAATAGATATTACTACTAACTCAGAAAAACAAAACGTTATACGAAGAAACAGTTTATTGAAAATAATCACAAGCTGACAACAATATCTTCGGAAAAAATAATGACTATTAAAAATTGGGGAGGATAGTTTTAGACTTAGAAAAACTAATTTCTCTTTTAAATAAGGGATTCTATTAATTTATTTTCTGAGCTATACAAAACTTCTACGAAAAAACATTTACACGAAAAAGTCACGGCTGAATGGAATATCTCGTTAGCGTTAGGTGCATAGCTGCTGTTATAGCCCTGAATTCATGAGTGAAACCGAATCGAGTGCGCTAGTCTGATTTCTTTCTTTGACTGCGTGTTCCTTTTACTCTGCAATGTGGTGCACACATAGATATCGATATGTATATAAAGGCGATACTCCGCTGATCTAGTTGCTGCTCTAGAGTGTCCTGTTGTTGCGGACCACCACAGTCGACGCTCCGTTTTTTGATTCCTTGACAATTAGCTCCTTCTGCGCTTCTGCGAACACCAAGTGCATCTCAAGACATGCACTGAAAGTTTATTTCAGAATTATTATTGTTCGTAATCAAGCAGTTAAACGCGAGTGTGCAGTTGTAGACTGAAGCCATGATAAACGATGTATCAATGTGTTCATTATAAATCTCCTTTTAAGATTTGGAGAAATATAATAAAGAAATATAGAATCTTTTGTATATGTTTTATGTTGTACGAGAGCTAACTCTCTGATTGCACGCTCGTACGTCAGAGATAAATTACGTGGGCATGGAGTTCGAACGTTTTAACGATGGCGACTTTTTACGCATGAGCTTAATGCTAGCTACTTTTTCTGTCACGTAGGTCGACCTAAGACACATGGACGAAAAATTGGGGAGCAACGTAGTGGATGTGGGAGTTGACCTGTCTGAATTCTACATGTCGGTAGAATGGGATATTTTAGAAGTTCCTGCAGTTCGGTAAGTGTTTGTTTTTGTGTGTTATTTTATTTGATCTTCAAATATACAGTACATTCAATATACATCTCTATTTGCACATATACTCTCTATATATGTATATTGTTATAAAAAGTGATTACAATTTTATTAAATTTGTTCATTTATACGCGATATTTCATAAAAATTGTAATATAAAGACTTGAGATCTTATTATGAAATCAAATTTGTATTCTCATATTAAATACGAAGCGATTACGGTTTATTGTCTTGTATTCAATATGAGATTTGCCAAGTTCATCTATTTTCTTTGGATAAGATCTCAATCTAATCCCCAAGATCCTCAAATATAGCAATAGCATCGAAATCTCAAAGCGCTCTTAGAAGAAGCTCCTTTCTCTTACTTTATGAAACTCTTCTTCATTCAATATGCTAACCTGGCATAAGCGAACAGCTGCTTCCGGGCACGATTCGATTCCCGATATTCGGCGTGCCGCGATGCAAACGGGAATCGGATTCTACTTCCGGAAGCTGCCATAGTAGCAAAATGGATGTTGTCACAGACACTTGAAGTGACCTACTACTAGAGATGTTCAAGATATTTTAAAATATTGATGTTTTAACATTTGAACACTTTCGGCATTGGTATTA